ATATCCCCTCGGATTTGATAGGAACTGATGGTACTCACACCCAACGAATAGAGTCCAACTGGTGGTCGGCAAAGAATTGGATGCGGGGAATAACCTGTCAAATACGCTAAAAACGCTCACTTTTACACACGTATAACTTCTGAACCGATGGATTCCGCGCCTTAAAACATGGTTTTTTAGATTCTACTCGTTAAATACTTCAAGAAGATAGAAAAAAAAGGCCATAATTTTTGGGCCCCTGAGGTAAAGTTTACCCTAAAATAAATAATATAATATAATATAATATACACAAAACGGAGCAAATAGCACCACTTTGAAACACATACACAGCAATGGAACACAATGCATCACGGTAGAGCGCGCACTTTCACCACAATTGTGGGCTTTCAGCCGCACTATATGTGCGTTGGAAAGATCAAACTCAATGCCCTGGATATAAACGTGGCTCGGAAGAGAATTCCACCCGGCAGCGCCTGTCCTGATCTGAAGTTGGCTACCTACCGGCTAGTGCCGAAGAAGGAGTGGGGGAACCCAGTCCCCACACAATCACCTTCGCACCAATTAAATTTTAAATTTAAATTTAAATAGCAGAATTCAATAATTAATTTAGTTAACTTCACATCACAGATCACAGATGAGTACATGATGCACAAATTTGCACAATGCCCGGAAGGAAAAGGAAGGAGTGAGTAAACACGCGTCACCGATGACTATGTCAACTAAGACCGGATGTCAAGGTCTGCGTTGGTTAATAAATTAGAGTTACGGACATAAATAACGCCGACTGTTATTTTAGGGTGTGAAATTTTGGCAAAACACGCTTGGAATTTCGTGGCTAAGGGATTGTCAACAGTTACGAAATCAAGAGATTTGTGAACGAGGAGAATCGTGCCTCCAGAACGATTTGTAGCAGGGTTGTCTTGTCTTATCACAGTGAAGCCCGGTATGGTGAGAGAGTCGGCGGGCTTAAGCCAAGTTTCTGTGATCATGACGATTTGAGCTTGAAGCTCGGAAATAAGTAAGATTAATTCATTGCGACGCAATAGAATTGATCGGATATTCCATAGTAGAATACGTGGGAAGACGACTAATCAAGGGAATTAATGACAGACCAAGAGGTCTGAAATTTCTCCGCTTTAGTCCGACAGTTACGAAATTTATCAATAAATGTTCCTGTAATCTGAAGCATCTCATTCAGATCGACCATGGTGTTCAAAGTTTTTAAAGACTCGATCAGCTCGCCCATTGTGTTAATGCCGTGTTCCGGGCCACGGTTGTTGGATTCTAAAGGTTCCGCGGATCGTGGACCTCTGCGGCTGGTGACGTCAGCGTTGGAGTTTGCCGTGTATTAGCGTACGAGGGGCGCTCGTGTATCGCGCGCGCGACCCATCGTTAAGTAAAGTAGCAGGAGAGGGGATGAGCACCTGTTTGTCAAGAAACGCAAGTCCGCGGGGCGCTTTTGCTGCACCAACTTTGGAATTCAGATACTTATCGAGTGCAGGACATTTGGAATAATTTGCAGTGTGCCCTTCGCCGTAATTGGAACACTTGGGGTTTTTATTAAAGGATTTGGAGCATTCGGAGGAATGGTGTGAACCCGCGCATTTGACACACCTAGGAGGTAGGTTACAGTCCGTAGCGGAGTGGCCGAAGGCCTGACAGCGAAAGCACTGTGTATAGTTTTTGTTAGACATGAACTTTTCCCAATAGATTCGTGCATTAAACAAGAATCCGACTTTATTAACGGTGTTAATAGTTGTGCCAGGAGGAAAATTAATGCGGTACGGGATATCGACGTGTCGATTGATCGTCCATGCGGCGTATCGGTGCGCAACCGTTTGGATTAAGGCCTTGGGCCTTTAATTCGTCAATAATTTCCTCGCATGGAGTGTCTGGCAAGCCACGAAGGACTAGACTTAGTCAATGTAAATGTAAAAGAGGGGACTTTGCCCTCCTTTAATACTGTCTGGAAATTTTTAAAATTTTCGACCGATTCAAACTGCAACCGAATACGACCTCCAAGGTATTTGATTTTAAAGGAATTCCCGTACATAGCGGTCAATTCGCGATTGAATTTGGCGATATTATATGAAAAGTTAGATATGTACAGAGGTAGGGGTTTAATAATAACCCGCTTGTTAAGGGCACAGACTCCTTGTGCCATGACCTGTATGCGTGCACTCACACATTCAACGGAAAGCATGCACGTATACGCCATGTGAGAGAGACACTCGATTTCGTAGATTCCACTTTTCGTCTCGATAATTGCATAAATGAAATTTTCGCGGGTACAGCACACACCGGTAGACTTCGTTACAGGTCGGTCTGGTCCGCTTTAACGCTAATAAACACCATACGTTGAGAAAAATGGAATTTTCGAAACTGTACTATTGAGACAGACGCTGTTGTAAGCAAACAACATGGCTGCCGAATGCTGCGTTCGGCTACATTTTAGCGAATATTGGACGATTTAATCGTTTTTTCACTGATAACAGAGCAGACCAACTTTCCTTGAACTAGCACAATATCACTGAAATTCGATTTTTCACAATTTATCACTTCTGGAAGACGTAAAATGGAATCTACGATTTGCACGCATCAGACATCAAATAGACATAAGAATAGTTCACTGATTCTCCGTCAGAGGCATTGATGGTATATTTGACCACGTTACCATCAGGGTCGATAAAAACACAAATCAGTCGATAAATGTAAATTCTAATTTGACACCACAAACGGCTACGCGAATATAGCCACAAGTAAGGCATAGTTGCCGCAACGTATTAAAACTTCTGTCACGCTGTTCACACCTGTTACAATTCTAATCATCAGCACAATGAATCAGCTCGAGCCGATAAAGAGGTCTGAGAATGAAACAATACATAATGTGTGGCAAACCACAAAACTTTTTTATTCATATTTATAATCATGTTTTTTTATCAATGAAAAATATAGAGATATGCCAGAGAAATGAATTATAAAACATGTACATTTCGCAATATTCGCATATTCTATATGCAAAAAGATATAGAAGGCGATATACATGTGCTGTTTGTGTTCCTATTTATATATTTATTATTTACTGAAAAGATTTTGATTCCTGCCAGACATACAAAAGGACAGCGCGAACGAAAGAGAGGTAGCAAGAACGAAATAATCCACATAACGTACGCGATCATAAAACTTATAGGAATGAAAACTACAGAACATTAATAATTTCAAGAAGGTCAATCGGAGGGAGGGAGGATGCAACAGTTTTACACTAATTCTAAACGCGTTTATAAATAGAAAACAAAGAATTGGCGGCCGATGCTCGCTGGTGACAGCTGATCGCGCGGACGGTGTAATGCGTACGAGTGCGAGTGAGAAAGCAAGATGACGATACCGATGGCTTTGCGAGACAGACTGTGTTTTGTCGCACGGACCGACATCGATTTTGTCATCTTGCTTTCTCACTCGCACTCGTACGAATTTCTGCTTGCGAATATTCTCGCCCGCGGGTCCGTCGCGATTATTCGCCGGAGATTCGCAACAAAGGGAATAAGAAATAAAGAGATATGTACTAATTTATCATATATTTTTTTTATTTATAATTTTTCAATAATAATTCACAATAACATTTCGCCCTCCTCTGCCGCCGCCCCATCCTCTTCCTCCACGGCGCACAGTGGGACAAAACTGCTTTTGGCCATCAAAATTCTGTAACTTTGGTTCTATTGGAAATATTTTAATGAAATTTTGGGAAGTTTTTGCCTACATTATGGTACTTAAGTTGTAATAATATAAATCATATTGAACAACAGAGTGTCAAGATATTCACGTATAAACTGTAGCGCGTTCAATATCCTTCACTTGTTAGACATATTTTACGTCATTTAACAAAAAATTGACTCAAAACTGTTAATAACTATAAAAGAAACGGATTTAATAATTAAAAAATGACAAGACATGTGTTATTATAATATATTTATTTATATTTATTATGGCATATTGCAAGGACGAAATAAAGTTTTGGATGACAAATATACACGTGGAATGCAGTTAACTGGTTAATAATCGTATCTGGTACTGTTTTTCTATCATCGTGCGCAGCGGCCAAGATGGATGTAATTTCATTCAATCGCCATTTTCTTGAAAAAGTGCAAAAAAGTGCAACCGATTTGTTAAGATTCTGATAGAGGAAGGTCCACTCTTTTCTGTAGTAATAATTAAACATGTGGCAAGTTGTGGCATTTTTTTAAAATCGAGCTCAAAGTTGAGATTTTAGTTAAATGTACTTCGTTTCAATCAGATCCTATTATTTAAAAAGTTGTTAACATTTTAACTTACTTTATGCACTGAATAGAATCTATACTATCCTAGTAAACTTTATCATTCATTTGAATTGTATCTTTCTGAGTAAAATTCATTAGAATCGTACATTGAAGTTACGGGTAATATTATCAGCGTTTCATTTTGACGAATTTCTACTGACTTTGAGTGCGAACCACGGCAAAACGGAAGCAAATATGAAAAAACGAATTACACTACGTTAAACTACAGTTTATCATCTATTGATGTATGTAATTAGTTTTTCAATTTTCGAATTCACGAAAATCGAATTTTGATCACCGAAAGCCGTTTTGTCCCACTGTGCGGGGTGTCGATCGATGAGCGATCACTCTGATCTCTACGGTCGACTAGGTGACACGCGTTTAGAAGCACGTAATTCACTTAGCGAAACACGGAACATAATTCGAGTCAAACTGACTTTCGGGTACTAGTATTCGCGGTTATTGTTCGCGCCTCAAACTGAGGAGTCGGTGGTCCAAACTGTACCACGGCGCGCCGCGGAGAAAGAAGAGGCCGAAGCGGGCGGTGGGCGACGGGCGACGGGCGGCCAATTATTGTTTATATATATTGATAATATTTCAGTAAATAAATATTGTATATATAGATCAATTTACATTTGTTTATTTTGTATTCCTTTTCTGAAATTATTAATGCCATGTAGTTTTTATTCGTATAAGTTTTATAGTCGCGTACATTATGTGTATTACAGTCTCATCGAATCTGTCGTGGCGTGTGACTCGAACATATGTATTTCCGCCGATCGATACTACGTTGTTTGATTCATGATACTCCTCTTTCTATCGCGCTGTCCTTTTCTATGTCCGCCTGGAATCAAAATCTCGCTCGGCTCGAGCGAATTCATTTTGCTAGATGGTCAGGATTGTCACAGATGTGGCAACACCGCGACAGAACTCTCAAATGATGTGATTCGACAACTACGCCACCTCACTTTCGTTTCTTATTCTGCATAATGACGTTAGATGTCACACCATCAAATGTCACATTTATCAATTACATGTTTTCACAATTGCCCGATTTTTTATAATGGCGCTTACATCGATTCGGAGGAGGCCTCGAAAGAGTCTGTGCCCTTAAATTGACTCTCGTTGGATATTATACGAGGAAGGGCGCGGAGAGGTTGTTGCAAACCGTCTCGTGTCGCGGTTTGCGTCGCGACGCGTGTCGGTTTGTTTTTGTTTGGATGGCTGGCGTTGCCAGGCGAGGAGGGCATGTCCTTGTTATTGAAGGCAGCGAGCACGGCGAAACGATTGTGTGTTGTAACGGTAACTGTGTTTTCAATTTCCATGTTGTTGGCTAAAATATCAGAATTTTTATTATCGTTAAGATATTTAGTTGTGTTACGGGTTAGTAACTCTCAATCCGCTACTTTCATTAACGTTATCGCGATTTTTAAATCCGCGAGCCGCGGTGATTGAAGCGCACGAGTCTGAGGAATCAACAGAAGGGTTAGAATGCTCAGAACGAGCTGGAGATAAGTTTTTCAGAGGTTTCAGGAAGTTCTCGGAAAATGGTGTGACTATTGGAAGCTGTTTGGCAAAATCGAACGTGTGCTTGCCACTTACCGCGGTTGACGGTGTATGCGTGGGAATAGAATCGATGTTGAGCGAGTTGTTCGACTGCGTGTCGGACTCGCAACCATGATCGGTCATGGATGAGAAATGCCTTAGAACATTTTCCATGGATAACTTATGCCCGACTTTCGGCGTGCCAGCCGGGTGACTATAAAGATCAACCCGCCGTGGGTTACGACGCGTTCGCATCACGGACAGGCTGCCCTTTTAAAACAAAAACGAAATAGAAAAATAAAACACAATAACACCAATTAACGCGACGAACACTAAGGATAAAGTATAGAAAACACTATTATTTAACTAAAACTAATAGCAAAACGAGCAAAGAATGAAAAACAACTAAAATCGTCTTAAGCCAGAGCGCTCACTCCTACGACCTCACTGCGCGACGACTCGACGATGATTGAAGTTATACGGGTTTCCTCACGTGACGTGTGACATGCATGCATTCACGCTTTTTGGAGGGCCCCCTGGTTTTTTTAGCGCGGACCTCCAAGAGTGCCGATCGGAAAATATGCACGCACCAATCAGAGCCACTCTCGCGTCTAATTGGCACGGCACCAGCCGCGATTTCGCGCTCCGTACCGATCTCTGATACCGAACCGTCGCGATTCTTTTTTTTCTTCTAACGGATCCCCAACGCGCTGAGTATTTCTAAATCCTGTGGCATGCCCACGAATCTTTTTCGATCGCTACTGATCTCGCAGACAGCCTTCCGGCCACAGTACGAGCTAGCTCATCTGTGTCCGGTTTTTACCTCTCCCGAGCAGCTTGAGCTCTCGGTGCTATAGTAAGGGTCACCACTCCCGGGTAGTTTTGTACTCCCGGTATTACGGTGACATTTGCCACTTCCGAGCAGTTTTATACTCTCGGTGCTATGGCAAAACGCACGACCATAGGTTTCCCTGTGCGTGTAAAGGCTTCTAGGCATAGGCGAACCCATGCACTACTGCATTGGATCCAGTGCTCTCGAAGGGCCGTGTACCACCCTGAAATTGCTTACTAGGTTTGGATAATTAAATATTCCTTTCTGTGGATTTTTTATAGATAAACATTTATTCCAACGGATTCTATCCTTAACAGACATTACCCAATCGACACACGCCGATTTTGATACCCTTTGAGTATGATATAGAACTCAAAAAAATATTTGACACGTATTTTTTTTTATCGGCCATCGTCCATGCTGAAGGGGTGAAAATAGCCCCCAAAGTTGGGGTTGCTAAACATATTTTCTTGAATATCTCAGAAACTATTAGGTGTAAGCGAAAAATTCAAAATGGAATTTGTGTGTTTTTGAGCAGCAAATTTTTCTGTGTCGCCATCTTTTCGACAAATTTATTTGTTTAAAAAATATATTGAAAAATAATCTATTTTTGTCATTTTTTTGGCAAAATGTTGATGTATTTTCATAAAAATTTGTACAAGTAAACTATACATCTTGACAAAGAATGCGGATAAATTGGAATTTTAAAGTTCACTGTCATAGTAGTTATTATTACGTTGGGTAAATATTTAGAATAAGGGAGCCACCTCCGATTTCGATGACCTTCAAATATGTTGTCAAGGTCGTTATTCTGAACAACTTTTTCCTATACATATAATAGTCGGACTCTTTTGGTTTGCGAGATATTTGAAAAAATAACGTGCTTTACTATCAATATTTCCAAGAGTGAATAAGTCGCAACTAGGATCTTATCTATTGTTTTGGGGGGCTCTGCCCCCCAAACCCCCCCGCCCCCACAACGACAATAACCCCAAACCCCTTTGGGATGGACTTTTTTAGGTACTTCGAAAACACATGTGGGGATTAATGAACGGATAGTACATGTAGGTATAAGTTTAATACAGTCAAATACTAAATAGAGCACATATTAGTCATTTATTCGTTTAGACTTTCATTCAAGGGATACATAATTCCCATTATTTTGAAAAACGCATCCAATCTTTCAGAAAAATCGAACTTTTTTTTAAATATGAATTCTGCTAAGTAATAATTAAAATGACATTCTTTGCGACCGTACAAAGGAATATTTCCTCGAATTTCTCTCCACAGTCTTTCAATGTTTTGTGTATGTACCCCTGTTTCTGGATCAACAAAATTTGCCGAGTGGTTTACAGTGTAATGTTTATACACATCTTTATTTATTTCTGCATACGCCTTCCAACAGTCGCTATAAATTATTGTACCCGGAGCAATGTTCTTCAAAATTAGAGGTAACAGTACCTCCGATTTGCGAGACGCTATTGGAACAACAAAAAACTTCTTTGAGTGTCGTTCAATAGCACCGAAAATCCACTGTCCTTGTATGACTCGTCCTCGATTGTATTTTCGGCGACCAAATTTTGCCTCGTCAATCTCCACGACTATTCCATCCCCACCAATTTGATTTTCGTCTTTTATCAACCATTCATACATAAGCTGAGAAATTATTAATAAAGTAAGTTCATAAACCAGTGTTAATAATAATAGGTATTTAATTAATTACCTCTCGACAGAAATTAGTCCAGTCAACTGCTGTAGAAGATGAAATATTAAGTTCTACTTCGAGAAATCTTTGCCTCGGAGTATTCATCATTAAAATATAGCAAATTAATCGACAAGCTACACCAATATTTAAATTTGATTTTGAGAACCAGGTCCTATGTAATGCACTGATTTTAAAATTGCATGTTAATCGTTTTCTTTTACGATTCGTGATTTGTTTATAATAATGATTAGTACAATGAAAACATAATGACTCTAAACACTTTAATTCTAAAATACTTCCACACTGTGGACATTTTATTGTTTGACGAATAACATTTTTAGAATACAAATAATTCAATAATTCGTCGCGATTTGTGGTTAAAGCTAGAAACTCGTAGAATTTCATTTTAGAAAATTGATATTTATATAACTGTACGTTATAATGATTAGTCGTACACTGTTCATGAAATACAAGAAATGTCAAGTTCATTGATAACTTTGGACATTGAGTCAATGACAAGATATATGTATATATACACACAAGGCACTCTATTGAACACAAAATGCTGTCGAAAATTTATCTAGCCTTAAGATAACTGTTTTCTCAAATATCTCGCAAACCAAAAGAGTCCGACTATTATATGTATAGGAAAAAGTTGTTCAGAATAACGACCTTGACAACATATTTGAAGGTCATCGAAATCGGAAGTGGCTCCCTTATTCTAAATATTTACCTTACGTTGCAAATTGTACTCACATCTCGACTCTGCTGGCCCTCTATAGCGATGTCTACGTTTCATTTTGATATAAATTTGTGTAATATCATTCAATTAATTTACACTATGCTTTGTTAATCGCTTCATGAGTAGTGGAAAACGGCATGGCAAATAAAAGTACCGGCAATTGTAAAAGAGGTAAATACGACAGGCGTGGGGAGTGCCAGTGATTTGTTGAAATAGGAGTGATTGTTCCTTTAAAATTACTCCACGTTTAGAAGAGTATGGTAGCCCTGGGAAGAGCTGATGTTATTAGTTCTAAAAAGAGCTGATTTTGGTACCCTCAAGAAGGACTGGTTTTTTAATTTTAAAAAGTGCTGAAAAAAGTGCTTGAAAAGTTGTAATTATAAGGAAGCGATAGCTGATACTAATAGTGCATTCCAAATGTTTTTGAAGTAGAAGAAATGTGAAAGTAAATAAAAATAAATTTTTTATACATCTATGCAATTCTAATTTATATATGTAATAACTAATTTATATAATGGTTACAATAATGAAAATTCTCAAAGAAATGTATGAAACACAAATGCCGTCGACACCACGAACATTTCAGCACAACAAACATTACAATGCACATTATTTTTCGAACATTACAACGCACCGCGTTGATTCTTCAAATTGTAGTTCCAGATGTAACCATCATAAACTAATTCATTTAACTGCAGTATTAAAACATTTCCTAGTTAATATTCCTTTTGTTGGCTAGCTAATTTACATTTGCATTTTATATTCTGAAGTAACGACTCTGCTTTTATATTGTCACTCATCATTCATTACTTTCGAGGATAGGATTAAATATACAGCAGGGTATAAAATTTAATCGTACAGCAAGATTCCTCACGTCTGTTGTATTTACCTCTTTTACGATTGCCGGTACTTTCATTTGCCATGCCGTTTTCCACTACTCATGAAGCGATTAACAAAGCATAGTGTAAATTAATTGAATGATATTACACAAATTTATATCAAAATGAAACGTAGACATCGCTATAGAGGGCCAGCAGAGTCGAGATGTGAGTACAATTTGCAACGTAATAATAACTACTATGACAGTGAACTTTAAAATTCCAATTTATCCGCATTCTTTGTCAAGATGTATAGTTTATTTGTACAAATTTTTATGAAAATAGATCAGCATTTTGCCAAAAAAAATGACAAAAATAGATTATTTTTCAATATATTTTTTAAACAAATAAATTTGTCAAAAAGATGGCGACACAGAAAAATTTGCTGCTCAAAAACACACAAACTCCATTTTGAATTTTGCGCTTACACCTAATAGTTCCTGAGATATTCAAGAAAATATGTTTTGCAACCCCAACTTTGGGGCCTATTTTCACCCCTTCAGCATGGACGATGGCCGATAAAAAAAAATACGTGTCAAATATTTTTTCGAGTTCTATATCATACTCAAAGAGCATCAAAATCGGCGTGTGTCGATTGGGTAATTTCCCTTGTAAGTATTGGAAACTATCAACGACAGCAACTTGTACTGTTCCCTCAGATATGAACGGACCTCTCTACAGGTCGCAATCGGTTTCTGGGCAAACCAGAGATATGTGTAGTATAGGCACGTCTGTCGAGCTAGCCCCCCACCAAAAAGGACATACATGGAAATTATGAGCCTGTTACGTGCGGAGCAGGCGTAGTGGTAGGTGACTAGTCTGCGGATTGTTATGATCCGACGCAACGCTTAAACACCTCCTTTGTGAAGGAAAGATATTATAGGATTCGGTCTATACTTATACAAGCCTCTCGCTCGTTGGACACAAGGTTTGGAAAATACACACTAAATAATTATCAAAGTTGAATAAATAACTATTATATATTTTTGCCAAAAGAAATGAAGTATAAAAATATAATGGGTATTCAAAAGATATTACCATTTTCCTTAATTACTGAGGACAAAGTATCCAAATTTTTAATCGGACTCACCGGATATTTAAATGAACAGAAACGGTTAACGAGTTCGATCCTTTGCTCCTTTCTCTCTCTCTTCCTCTCGACGCACGGATGATGATACAATGTTCTTGACAAAATGAAACTATGCCTCTACACTAAGAATAAATCTAAATATTTTTAAACTAACAGCTCTAATTACAAATGGTTTGAAAATTGGAGTCTTTTTAACGAGAAAGATGAGTCTTTTCGCGTGACACTTGATTCTCACGAAACTCTGCTCGACGTATTTTGCTCGACGTATTTAAAAATATTGAATCGTTTTTTGCGGCAGAATTAGGTGCTATTTATGAGCTTTTAAAATAATATAATTCCGATTTTTGAGCTCATCGTTTTAACCCTAAAACAATCCCTTAAATAATTTAACTCAAGAGAGAAACACACCTACAATGAAAATAATTAACTCTTTTGCAGGTAAATATTGTTTATTGATTTAAGAGCTCATAAGATACATATTTTGATTATTGAATCGCAACCCCTTTACGGTAAAACCACCCCTCGTCTCCCAAGCATAGGAGGAAACTACACTTAAAATGAAGTATACAATTTGTTCTGCAACATTTACTTGCGCAGCCCAAAAGATCCTTATTTATTACCAAAAAAAAAATATACTGATCGAATTGAGTAATGTTACGTTGCGCGTGCGACGGCGCAACGTAAAAAGGAAAATATAAATTGCAGGATATAGGGTGGTTAAATTTCAATGAGTTAGTTGGAACTCAACCCCCTACACCTTCTTTCCTATTTTAGCGCAATGGTTGGTATCGCTGCCACCAGTCTTGAGCGGGTTAACGCTCTCGACAAATTAAAAGACGAAAGGCAAAATTGATAAGATGTTAGATTAGAAATTATTAACCCTTCGTTGGGTTCGTTCAACGCTTAGGTCCCGTACGGGTCCCTCCTTGAATCTGTATGAGTTGGTAGGCGTGTTTTAGCTGAAATGTGTGAGGTGCGTTTGAAATGAATTTTGAAACTGTTTAGGTGAATGAAACTGGTTTAATTGTGAATGAAAAATCAAGTAAATAGTAACAGAGAAATGCCAAAATTGAGACTTTTATAAATTTGGAAAAATTCGTTAGTGTAGAAAATACCAGTTTATGCAAAAATGTGAACAAGGGTAAAGATACTTAGAATTAATTAACCTAAATATATCAATATGAAAACACTCTAATATCACAATTGAAACTATTGAGTTATGTACCGGTCGCGTGAAATGATTATTACAATTTCGCTTTCCTAAAGTTAGCTGTAAAATCGGCGGTTTTCGCTCGTGGTACACCCCAGCCTGAGAAATTCTCGTAACTCTCGAAAGAGCTGGACTAAGGTGCCCTTTCGACGATGGAAAAATTGGAATTGCGAGATTGTAATAAACGGAAAAAATAATACTGAAATCAGTCGATACCTCGTACGGTGCAACGATCTGACCTGAGTCTCTCTCGTAACCCTAAAGGGCTGGACCAGATCGCCCGTTTTGCTAAATGATAACGTCGTAATTGAAAAATGTAATGAAATCGACTTACCGTTACGCTGTTTAATACGAAACAAGATTTATAATATTCGCTTGCTAATTTTCGCTTTGTATTCGCTCGATGATCTGGAACACCAAAGAAACGGTAAGATTTCGATCACTGTACTTGCCGCGGCGAGAACGGATTATTACGGACGAGTACGTCGACGAGAGACAAACGAATAACGAGAATTACGAATTACGATTAATATAAATTACGCGAAATGAAGTTAATACGGAATTACTACGCGAACAAACGATTTGAAAACAGAAAGAAAAGATAGAATATTAGGGAGAAAGAAGGTTTTACGTGCGCGTCTATGAGTCCTTATTCAGAATTCCGATTATTTTACCTCGCACGGCACTCTGCCTCGCTACGCGGAGGACTTTACCGCAGAGAAAATATCGCGAACTTCCAATTAACTCTGTCTCTCGGATACACGGGCTCCCGATCACGTACTTACGATTGATCGATCAAGAGTGACAAATTTCGTGCGCGATCGATGGTCGAAGGGCCCGTCGCGCGAACATCGTTCTTGGAGGGGACGGTTTAGCGAATCGTAGTCCGTTTTCGGTAGTGTCGCGTGCCCGGTGATTGGTTGAAACGCGCGAGCTAGACGAAGATCTTTCATCCCCTTTCTTTGGTATTCCTTTCTTTTCTACTTCGTCGCCATGATAGTTTCAACGGTTTTCAGAAACTACGCAGTATTTCTCTTTATATGTATAATTAATTAATCGCATTGAATTGTAATATGACTATTGCATTGAATTAATTCATAACTATTGATTCGATTGAACTGCAAGATGAAATTACAGGTTTTCATGGAGGAAACCGTCATCCGTATATCGGGATCAATGTTATTCACTTTCCTGATTTGCAATAAAGATAGTCTGATTTAATAGGTTTAAAAGCGGATGATGCGCTTACGGTGATTGTAATGCCGTGGCGAATTATGCATTTTACAACAATCTATCTCACATTAGAAACTATCGCTTTGATGAATTCGGCATTTCGCATTCTATGAATTTTAAACAATTCTCAATCTGGCGAACGTTCCTTCGAGAACGTTCCTTTGTTCAAACTTTGCCGTTATCGCTAGGCAGTTTGTAACAGTACTTTTTCTATACTGTGTCTTACTTTTTACACGTTTGGTAACGGGGAATTTTTAGGTTGTCTGACAGGAAACAGCGATAGATATCTGGTAGAAATCTGCTTATATATTTTCGGATGAATCATACATCAAGGAACTTTTACTACCGGAATTAATATTCTTTAAGTCAGAAAACGCGGAACGCCACTCCTAGCTTGATATATATATATATATATATATATATATATAACAATTTATACCCTAATGTCAAAAGCTTTAGAAAACGCGGACGCCACTCCTGGCTCGTAGTACAACAATTTATACCGAATATCAACAACTTCAGAAAACGCGAACGCCACTCCTGGCTCGTAGGACAATGCTTTGCTGAACGACCTATTGAAATAATCTCGGTTCTTGTGAGAATGAATAGAATCTAAGC